GCCCCTAGCAACGGCGTGTTTCTAAGGAATGAACGCATACTTTTCAACGATATAACCACGCGTTTAAAATGCAAGCTGCAAGCTCAACTGCAATTGGCTGTAAACTGGCCTGGATCCTTGCAGATGTCATCATGGCTCCAACCCTCACAAGTTCAGGTTGTTTGGCAAGGGTTGGAATGTTGGGAACTTTACCATTTAATAACAGCAAAGCCATAAATTCAAGCCAAGTATTTATATATTGGTCTATTGCAGCAATAAAGCTAATACAATCATTGAATCATGAAATGTATTGATTTTCAACAGTACAAAATAGAATCGAAAAAGCTCCTCCTTTACTTAATTTTTATATCCCAATAATTCAAGCTGCAAAACATAATTACTCAAAGACAACCCAAAATATGGTATTAAATTGCAAATGCCAAATACATTTACATATAGAAAATGGCAAAACATTTACATATAGAAAATATATATTCACTTTAATACGAAGAACTATCACGATATACTGTACATGTAAGGTCCGTTTCATGTGAAAATGAATTTCCTTGTTATATTCTTCCAATTTTCAAACGTATTCTTTGGCCCATATTTCGTCAGTGTAGCTTTAAATGCCAACATTTTCATGCTCGACGAAGCTAGATGCCATCTACGAAGGAGCACTTTCAAATTTGATTTTGAAGTGGTTTTTTACGTTTCACCTTCAGTTTTATATTCAGCGCAATCGTAGGAACTTTTTTCAGTACCAGAGAACGATTTTGAGCTTAATAAACCGACTTTTCTTGCAAAAATTCTCACTTTAGTAAGTTACAGCGTCAAAATATAATACAATTCTATAGTGTTTGTTTACGCTCGCGTTCCTGAGTCCCAGGCCCCCAAGCACGACGGATTTTTTTGAAAATTGTCATGTTTGAGGGTCAATATCTCGGAAAATATTGAACCAAATCAAAAAAGGTTGAAGAACTTACAAACTAACTTTTCGCGCTCTTTCCAAATCCGTAAATATCCCACAAGTGATATAGGCACTTTAAGAAAGTCCTCGGACGAGCACAAGTCACCTTATCAGAATTACAAACAATAATCGTGGAAATAGAAGCCATACTCAATGATCGACCGCTCACCTATGTATCTGCAGATATTGATGACGAAGAAGCTCTTACACCCTACCACTTGCTTAATGGACGTCGCATCACATCACTACCTCACGAAAAGGTTGACGATGAAGACATCCATGACCCTGATTATGGAAATCTTACCGAAGTGACAAAACGAGCCCGAAGGCAGGCACTTCTCCTTCAACATTTTAGAAATCGCTGGAGAACCGAGTACTTGACATCTTTACGCGAGTTTCACAGGACCACTGGAAATAACAAGCAAATAGTCAACATAGGAGATGTAGTCTTAGTCCACGATGACAAGCCAAGGATAAATTGGAAACTAGCAGTGATTGAAAACCTTATTGAAGGTGAAGACGGTCAAATACGAGCAGCTCACATACGCACAGCAACAGGCAAAACAAACCGACCAATCGCCAAATTGTATCCTCTCGAAGTACGTGCAACGACTAGAGCAGACAATCCAGTTGAAACGAAAGAATCTATAATCCACAACGAAAACACTCCAGAAGATCGAATGGAAAGACCCATTAGAGCAGCAGCTAAAAACGCATTACGACAGATTTCAAATTGGGCGAAAGTGTTAAATGCGCCCCCGGAGGATGTCGTGAATTAAGCAGTCCAGTTAATGTAAATAGTCCAGTTGACATTACGTAATTAGACATGTAGATTGCATCAGCTACGAACACGAACAGATTGAGATGTCTAACACGAACACGTTTAGATAGTACGAACACATGTAGTTTTCCTCAACCTTTTTAGCTTTAAATATATAACCATAAAACGAAGACAGTTTCTCTTACTTACTCGATCGAACCTCGCTATTCTCTACAATGACCGGTCCCTTAATTTATTGCGTTTTATGCACTGCTTTCCTTTTCAATGAAAGTTTGCTAAATTACCCTGTTTAATTTAAGAAAAAAAGGTAAAATGTAAAGAGGGCAAATTAATTTGAAAACTGAACTGCAATTACTCAACAATTTGAACTTATTTTGTTTTATAAAGTAAAAACAGTTTATCGGAAAAAGCAGTTTATAGTTTAATAATAAAATGAATATTTCAAAACATTTTACGAAGCGACTCAGCTTAAATTTTACATTAAATCAAAGCTTACAAAATGCAGAACAACATACCTACAGTACATATTTCGGAAATTCATTGTTATTATAGTCACAGAATAGGAAGTTATACCAGAAGCGTAACTCTAGTCGTTTCCCTTATTGTTTGATGTCCACGAAAATTTTAACTCGCTCACGTCAGGCCACGCCATCCTGGCTAGTACAGCCGGAAGTTTTTATCAGGATTTGGTAGGTACAAAGTGCCGGTTGTACTAGCCAGGATGGCGTGATCATATGGGCGTGATTGATGACGAATCGCTTGTACAAACGCGGACAAATATTTGCTCGAGTTACGCTTCTGGTATAACTTCCAATTCTGTGTTATAGTTAAAAGCAATAACTGTCAACTATTTTTGGCGTGTTGCCATGGCAACACTGACGTAAACGCGAGCCTGGGTTCAGTTGTTGACAGTGTGACCAGACGCTGGGTTCAGTTGTTGACAGTGTGACCAGACGTGGTAATTTCATTACTACCGTGGTAATTTTTCGTCATTTTTGGACAATTGTGGTAATTGGAAATTTGTGGTAATTACTACGGTAATTTCAGAACTACCGTGGTAATTTTTCGTCAATTTTTGGACAATTGTGGTAATTGGAAATTTGTGGTAATTACTACGGTAATTTCAGAACTACCGTGGTAATTTTTCGTCAATTTCGGCCGATTGTGGTAATTTGAAATTTTCTGACCTTAAATGTACAGGTTTTGGCGAAAACCCCCTAAATTTTACAGATTTTGTTTGAAAAAAAACTGGTTTTGGCCTTGTTTTAGGCGAAAAAAAACGGTTTTTGCGTTGTTTTACTTATTATTATTCCGGAATGGGGAATTTTTCGAAAAAATATGGTAAAATTGGTAAAATATAGCACCGTGGTAATTTCAGACCGAAAATAGTAATTTTTGAAACCGGATGTGGTAATTTGCCCTGAAAAAACCTGGTCACACTGGTTGTTGATCAATTACTAATACTGCATGTTAAATCAATGTTTGGAAAATACATGCGAGGGATTGCTGCACGCATGTATTTCTAGTATTTATATAATGAAATCAGTAATTAATGAACATACATCACAGGTAATTAATAATGGGGGGAGGGATTTATTCTATCATAGTAGTACACACCTCTTTTGGAAACCAGCATTTGTTGAAAAGATTAGTGTGTTTTTAAATAAAGTTGATCCATCCACCCAGACAGTGTTGTTTTCAAATGCAAACATTTCAGACGTGAATATTGAGAAAATCTTTGAGATTCTACGCAATAACAAATACATAATGTTATGCATTACGGCATTCGATTTAGTGCCGATATATACTATTTTGACGGTATATTCATTATACAGCGACTGTATAATGTGCTACACCACAGAATAGATGGCTACACTCAGTACACTGAAACCACAGAAGCCTGTAATACTCTGTGTTGAATTACCGTCACGGACCTTGTTCACGGCCACGGGTCTAGCAAAACGGTGAACGGTGCAAAATCGTGTTCATTGCACAGAGAGCTCTACCAGATCTTACGAGAATCGATCTGTATCAAAGCTTATCAAAACTGCTATAAACACTGCTATAACCTCTAAAGTGACATTATTGAATACATGCGAAAACCTGAAAATGGCTCATGAAACAAAACCTGACCTTGGGAATAAGGGCCATTCCATTTAATATCCACACCCCCCCTACGGATGAGGTCCGTAAAATTTTAACCCCTAAGAAAAAAAGATCAAAGTGCCGACACAAAACACCCCTCAGAAATTTGTAAATTTTCCCCTTACCCCTCAGAAAAATCGAAGAGATCAAAGGATGCCGACATGCTTAACCCCTCAGAAACGACTTTTTGAGTCACCCTTCAGAAAAACTCATCCGTAGGGGGGTTGTGGACATTAAATGGAATGGCCCTAAGTCAATAGGCCGTAGGATGAGCATCCAAAAGATGCAATTCCGTTGCACCCCTCGTGGAACTACGTAATTTTCGCATGAATCAATAGATAAAAACTTACTTTATCAGAATCCGTTGCTCCCCAAGCGAAACAGGTGCACAATTGGGAAAAATATTCCTCCAAAGTTTGATATTTTCCCGCTACGAAATATTCGAACCGCCATTGTTTTGGTAGCAAATACGCATGCGTGTTTCAGCCAAACTCGCACTGCGCACGCGCAGACAGGAAAAATGGATTTTCCCTGTGGGTGTTCCCCGATTTCCCCCGTAAAAACAACAAAATAAAATCGCGGAATAGAGATCAAACCTTGTACTGTAATATTAACGAATAAATAATACACACAAATTAAATATTGTTTAAAACACCTTCTTGTACATTTTGCTTGCTCATCTGCTAAATAACTTCAATTCATTAATAAAATACGGTTATAATGAGTAATTACCTATTAACATTCTAATTCAATACAAATTTGTGTGAGGTAAAACCCACCTGTATCAAACAGGACGCAGAATATATAATTATACATACACCACACGATCAAGGAACAAATAAAAATATGTCGCTAAACTAAAAGCCTTGACTAAACGAAATATTGTCGTAGACTGCGGATTTGTTTCAAATGTTTTCTCTGTCTCCCATATCCGAAACATTAGCTTTATTGAAAAAACTAAAGTTGCTTCCTCGAAGCAAAACATTTCCTACCAAATTCAGAAACATTTTGATCAAACACTATAAAGACAATATGACATACAGAAAACATTAGTAAGACAAATATAAATATGACCAGGACTGAACTGGGGCAGCTGCCCCTCTTGGCTTTTGCTATGAGGGGCAAGGGGGGGGGCAGAAGTGCCCTTTGAGTTGTAAAATACTACCTGATACATCACATTTCCAGTGATGCTTTTTGGGCAAATCATGAGGTGTGATCTTGAATGTGATCTGATTAGGCGGGGGTACACATGGATTGATGGTCATTTTTGAAATGGCTGTAATTTTAAAGATATTCACCAGAGTTATGACAAACTATATATCAGTAGAAAGCTTATGACCTATAGAAACTAAAAATACTAATCACTAGTGCCTAACGTCCTTTGTAACCTGACACCAGGCGGCCAATCATACCACATGCTGTGCAAAACTAGGGTGCATTTGAGAAAAGATATCTGCTTATAAATTGCTTGGAATTTTAAGAAATTTTATCAGTAAATAGTATAGGCATCATTATCTTAAATGAGCATAGAACTTTTTTGTATGATAAATCTTGTGGTCACAGCAGAGGTACAAAGTTAACATAGGTTTTTTCGATAATATTTTTTGTCATAAAATGTATTCCACACAAGATACAGAAATTTCCTATGCTTAATTAAGACAGCTCTAATAAAAGAATAAGCCCTGAAAATTTCAGGACAATTGGTTAAATACATCATGAGATATCTTTTCTCAAAGACGGAAAATGTACATTCCGAGAAAACAAGTGTTAAAGTTTTTAAACAACTGTTCGAGCTGTTCCTGACAGGTTTCAGGGACTTTAGCTTAATTTTTTGTCATTAGAAGTACTTTTAGCACTTCAGAAGCCTCCAGCCTGATAAGTTGTCCCTTCTACTTCTCATAGAGCTTCTTCTCTCGGTTTTCTTTTGGAGCTGCTCCACCTGTCGACGTCTGTTGTTTTTTTCAGATGTCTGGCGGTTAGACTTTCTGACCTGTTTCTTGTCTTTTAAGAGCAAACTTAGTTTTTCCTGCAGTTTCATGTTTGGTTTAAAAGATGTTCCTCTGTGTTAACTTAAATGACTCTATTGGTACAGCTAAATTTTCCATAGTTTTCTTTGCCGAACCCTCTTGCTGGTAACAAGGATGTTTAAAGATGCACACTGCACTCATCGTGCTTACCAATGGAACATGCAGACCAACATTTACCACAGTATACAATCAATTGTCAACACCAAGTTACATGAGTTTGTAAGATAACATTGTCTGTAACTGTATTCTTGTCCTATTGCTGCAAGTGGTACACTCGGTAAACATATTCGGCCCAAAACAAGCTCTCAAACTTGGTACACCTTGACATGTAATTACAGTACCTAAAATACAGTACAGAAACAACCTCATTAATATTAATACCAAGAAGCATTAAAATAGTAAAATTATAACAATGAAGCAAGAAATAATATATTGATATCTGTACAAAAATTGGGTAGAGAAAATTGATCTCTTGATATCATAATACTGCAAATTTGCAATAATTACTAATTATATTATTAATTAACATTTTTGAGTTATTGTATACTAGAATCAATCATTCAATGATAGAAAAATACTTACATTCACAACTTTTAAGTTCATCAGAACAAACGTTTGAAGATCTGTTTATAAGATGCCCAAGAATCCAAATCGAAGATGACTGCAACCTCGTTCCCAGGGTATTTAGGAAATACCCTGGTATGGGCTGGTCACGTGCTTCGTCCAAAATTTGGCGCCCGAGGGGGTGTGGGAAAAGTATCAAATTACATGATTCCAGTGGAGATATTTTGTTTAA